TTGGCTTGTTTCTCAACATCTTTTCCCTATCTCTGCTTTTTATTGCAATTTTGTGCTCTGATTTCCTAACGCTCCAGCCATCTTTATGTTTGTCTAGACTCCCAGGAACCCGCTTCGACTTCCGCTGTTACGGCAACAACAACGAAGTCGAAGACTACGGGTCATGCGCTAGGTGTTATGCGAATGGACGACCCAGCACACCTTAAGAAGTCAATTAAACAACTGCACAGGAAAAACCTCCACCCCCGACCACAGGAACCCGTCCGCGTAAATCTCTTCAGTCACTTGAGCCAGCCCGACAAACACGTCGATGTCCTCGGTGAGCTTAGGTAGGTGACTAAGCACTCCCTGCAAATCGTCTCATCAGAAAGGCCGAAGCAAGCAAAATACCGGCCTACGTAGCCTTTGGTAAAATTCCTCGCTTTTGCTCAACGGGACTTAACAAGCTTCTGTTGGATAGACTGTCTTCTGTAGCACAAATAGGTGAGCTTGAACTCGTGGAAATGAGCTAGGTTGACATAAAAACATAAAACTCTAACACAGCTCTCCGAAATAAGGCAATCACGGGCGACAGTAAAACAGAGACAGCGACGTGTCTTTCGAAAATCCGATCGGAAGTACGGATGCCCAGGGGGGGAGTTAACGGTTCTATATCGAGGAATAAAGACCTTTTCGTGTTGGCGGGACACCAATGAATACTGTCGAAGGTGTACTCATCGCTGCTACGGGAATTTATTCGTTTAAATTAGCTTAAAGACAGTTCTAGCACATACTGTTTATAAGCATACTGGATACTTGGCAATGCAGGAGCCTTCGCCAACTTTTCCAACTTACATTTGATGAGACTGCGATCACGCCTAGGGCAGCGACACTGAGCTATCGGGATGGGTCATCGGAAAATACATCCAAGCCACTGCAACCTGTTTTTTTTCTCCGGATGACTTGGGATATTCTTGGGACACCGACGAGACAAGTGCGACCTGCCATGCTTGGGGAAACGTCCGTGTAATTTCCCCAAAGAATCGTTTTTAAATGCGTCAGTTCTAGATCTTACTTCTCCCTCGTCTGTTCAACTCATTCCAACATTCACAGATGTAGAGGAGAAAATGCCCGATGGATGTGCGATATATTCACCCTTGTGGTCATCTGATATAACCATGCTACCTTCGTAGTCTATCCAAGACCCCGCTAGCAACGTCGGTGCTACAATACTGCTATAATTCCCTCGTTTAACGGCAGCCTGACTCGGAGATGTCCGAAATTGTTTTCTTCATGTACTTGAGGAGAAGAAAGGATGTCCGCTGGATAGAGATATAGCTGAACATTGTCGTTGTTTCCGCACTGTTGATGGAGAAGCCAACCCATTTGACGCATTCGTTGAATTGACACACAACTTCACGTACTTTTTCGTACCCCAGCACTAGAAAGGCAGCGTCAGGGTAGTCATAGATTTCCGGCTACAAACATGACACCATTAGCTAGAAAATCCAACTGCTACCTCTTTCAATAGCTGACTCTTCGCAATATCATGCCTTGTTTGTACTTGTAGACCTCTTTCACCGCCAACGCAATCTCTGAACCTATCAACCATAGTTGACGGTATTGCGACACTTCCTTCTGCCTTTTATAACAACGCGCCAGTTATCCAGATCGTATGCCCATAGACGCTCTACCACTGAAGGAATTCGACTGCCTTACGATTGAACTCCTGATCTATCAGTTCTTTGATTAGAATTGATTAAAGGCAGGACATTAAACAACAACCGTTGGCAGTTCGTAATGGCCTCTCTTTGCAGTAATACACCCTATCTTTCCCGAACTTATTCCGTGCCACACGATATCCAGTACACGGCATGTTTGGCGATATGTACTGTAAAGCGTTATGGATGACACTTCACTTTCACTAATTATGCAACTACTGAGGTACACGATAATGAGCCTGAATACTCTCTCGCCAACGCCGGCCTTAGTCTTCTGTAAACATCCAGTAGACGAGCTTAGGATCATAGCGCTCGGCCTCTGTAAGGACGTCCAATTAATACAAAAATTTCTTTTGCCTTGAACCTTGACCTTGTCGGCCCGGGTAATTTTTTTGTAAAATTCCAATAAAGAGCTTAATAGTCGCTCAGACCCAAAATCCTGACCCCAGGTAAACTTTTCAGAAAATCAAACAGGATTCCACTACTTTTCTTCGTTCCAATTATTCTCCCTCCTGGGTGATAGGAAGCTCCACACTTCGGGCTGCTATGTCTGATTCTGTTCATGTAAGTTGCCTTCGACGCAATGTTGAAGGGAATAAAGTGCTAAATAAAACTGGTTCCTACACGTGGCTCGGAAGATGTCCAGTCATGTACGAACTTACCTAGGGTTATGTTCACTGCTAGCAGTTTCGTTGATCTGTTTAATTTGAATGCATATCCAAAATTTTCGGCCAATGTTCCATGAAAAAGCCGTTTGTTTTGCCGTTTCTCGCAACACCTTGCTTTGTTGTTTCTGTCACTACCACCCCCCCCCCTCCTTTGCCCGTTCTCTGCTCTTTGTTGTAGCCTGGGCCACCAGGCCTCAATTCACCCAGCCTTCATTTCCCTCGGCATCGACATTGATGAGGGTCGGATCTGGGGCTCCAACCGACGTTGTCTCGAATTCCTCCGAGCCACTGTGGCTCTTATCAACTCCTACGCATGGAGCGAGCACACCGGTGATGTGCCTGCCACGGGCAGTCTCTCAAGAAGCTTTGTTACTGTTCTAGTACGCCATGTTACTTTTC